CCACAGGAGGAATCAGCGTGGAAAAACGAGTCGGGGGTACGAAATTTACCTCGATCGGCGGTCGGAAGTTCCTCCGGTGCGGCGGCGGGTGGCGGCGGTCGGCTTCTGGTTTGTCTTCTCTGGCGAGCGGCAGGCGGCTAGGGTTTGTGGTCTGGTGTGGGGGTTCTATTTATAACCCCTTGCCTTTTGATCTCAGCCGTCCATTTTGTTTTAATCTGGGCCGTCCGTTTTTGATTAAATCTGGGCCGTCCGTGCGTTTAAATCTGGGCCGTCCGATCGCGCCCACGCGGATCGCCAACGTGGCCCTTTTTAGAACGACGTAGTTTTGCCACGTGGCAGGTCCTGGTTGGCCGGGACTGCTGACCGGGCCTGCTGACGTGGCCCTTTTTTTTTTCTTCTCGGTCCGGGCGCTACAACTCTCCCCCCCATAAAGAAATTTGGTCCCCAAATTGCCTCATTACTCTTGATCAAACAGATGAGGATATTGTGCCCTAAATTCTGATTCTAGTTCCCAAGTCGCCTCCCTGGGCGTGTGGTTCTGCCACATGACTTTTACAAATGATATTTCCGGTTGCGGAGTATCCTGCTTTCTCGGTCCGTGATACTGACCGGTACTTCTTCATAAGACAAGTCCTCTCGGAGTGGAAGCGGTTCGTGAGCCAAGACATGAGAAGGGTCCGGATTGTACTTACGTAGCATAGATACATGAAACACATTATGAACCCGGGAGAGCTCAAGAGGCAGTGCAAGTCTGTAGGCAGTGGTACCAACCTTGTCTAAGATTTCAAAGGGTCCAATATATCTGGGGTTTAATTTTCCCCTCCTGCCGAATCTACTAATTCCCTTGAAGGGGGTGACTTTAAGAAACACCCGGTCGCCTTTCTCAAAGGCCAGATCTCTTCTTCGGGTATCGGCATAACTCTTCTGCCTACTCTGAGCTGTCGCCTTTTTTTTTTCTTCTCGGTCCGGGCGCTACATAAGTATCGACATGGCCCTGTATGAGACATTGTATGGCCGACCCTGTAGGTCGTCGATTTGTTAGGAAGAGGTTGGTGATAGAAAATTGTTTGACCCAAATCTTATAGAGGAGACTACAACCAAGATAGTTATAATCAGCAAAAATATCCAGACAGCTCAGAGTAGACAAAAGAGTTATGCATACACCTGAATGAGAGATTTAGAATTTAAGAAAGACGATCGGATGTTTCTTAAGGTCACCAATTTCAAGGGGATCAGCAAGTTTGGTAAGAGGGAAAAATTAAATTCTCGTTGCATTGGACCGTTTGAAATCTTAGACATAATGGTACGTTCGCTTACAGACTAACACTACCTCCAGAGCTATTCAG